GTGTGACGGAGAAGGAGCTCGGTGAGAAGTGCTGCTCTTCTCGGGGGGCCATAAAAGGACCGAGCCCCCCCAATCTCCCTTTGCCCCCCACAAAACGTCCCACCCCCCGGCACTAGAAGTCACCCCTTCTACCTGCAGCGGGCGGTCCCTGGACATGCTACCCCAAGGCACTCATTAAGCCGTCCCTTGGAGTTAGAGGAGGCTCCCTATTGAACTCGTGGGCTGTTGTATAGACCCAGGCCCTCCAAGGTGCAAAGTTTCAGCACTTTGGCCCGGAGCCTCAAAGGTGCCAAAACGTCCCACCCCCCGGCACTAGAAGTCACCCCTTCTACCTGCAGCGGGCGGTCCCTGGACATGCTACCCCAAGGCACTCATTAAGCCGTCCCTTGGAGTTAGAGGAGGCTCCCTATTGAACTCGTGGGCTGTTGTATAGACCCAGGCCCTCCAAGGTGCAAAGTTTCAGCACTTTGGCCCGGAGCCTCAAAGGTGCCTATGTAATTTTTCCATGCTCGTGAGGAATACATTTTATGTGCATGCGCGCATGCGCACCACCAGCAGAAACGTGCACTGCCAGCTGTGGGTACTGTGGGCACTCTGCTAATCAGCTGGGCGGCACTGGAATCTCTTTGGGGTGGCTGCCCAAGAGCCCAGCCTATAAAGAACCCTGCTCTGGGCCGTGGTCCCTGCCTCCTTGACGCGGTCGGTCTCTCTCTCTCCAGCTGCACTCACAATGGAAGGGCTGGATGCCTCTGCCATGGAGCGCCACAAGAAGGGCTGCCTGGTGCGCCTGGGGTCCCTGTCCACCAGCCTGCGGAACCGGGCCTTTATGCTCATTCTGAATAAGCTGAGACTGACCCGGCAGAACACCCACGAGAACCTCTCTCAGCTCCACCAGACGATCGACCTGGTACGAACACGCCCAGCCCTCTCCTCGGCCTGCAAACTGTCCTGCCTGGGACCCGGCCAGAGCCCGGTTATCGGGGACACTCGCCACCTCCCATCCAAGCCTCCCTCGCTGCTCTTGCTCGGCTCATTGTGCCCAGCCCGGAGCAGGCTGACGGGATTCCTGACTCCGTGTTTTTTCCACCCTGCAGATCGAACACATCCAGCAGAAGGGGCAGCTTCAGGGCAGCCAGGAGAAGCTGCGCAGCATGTGGAAACAGTGGAACCAGAAGCAGGAAGGGACTTGGGGGCCAATCGGCAGCAGGGAGAGCATCTCCAGAGCCAGCAGCAGCAAGGACCACGGCCCTAGCGCCAGCAGCAGCAAGGACCACCTCCGTCAGCAGCAGCAAGGACCACCGCTCCTCCGTCAGCAGCAGCAAGGACCACCGCTCCTCCGTCAGCAGCAGCAGGGACAGCGGCTCGGCACATCTAGAGGGATCTTCCCTAGAAACCCGGACTGCTGCCTTCAGGCAAACCTCACCTCACTCACCCTTCCTTTGTGCTTTCCTGGCAGGTGGAGTCCAAAACCTTGGAGATGTCCCGCAGCCTGACGCAGCAGCTGCAAGCGACGTACCTGAACCTCCTGGACAACGTCAAAGACCTTCCTGTGCATCTCCAGGAAAAGATGCGGCATGTGTATGAGAACATGGCGGAGCTGCATGGCTACTTCTCCTCGGCCAACTCTGTCCAGGATCTGTCCAGCAGCGTGCTGAACCAGAGCCGGGGGAAGGTGGCCAAAGCTTGGGAGGCCTTGGATGAAGTGACGGAGTTTTTGTTGCAGAACCCACCTGTAACGTGGCTTGTGCAATCCTTAGTTTCCCTGGAAGGAGAGCTGCTGGAGACAGAGGAGCCGGATATATTGAAAGTCCTGCAACACTACGAGCCGCAGGACTGCAAAGAGGACTAGCGGGCCAGCTTCCGTGCTCAGCCCAACCAAAGCAGAGACCTCACCCTACCCCTGTACTCGGAGACTGGGTTTTACTCTGGCCCTCGTGGGCTGCACTTCAAACGTGAGGCACCCGGGTGAAATTGCAATAGCCAATAAATGGACGGCTTTGTTTTCCCATCTCTCTTCCAAGCTAAGGCCGTTGGTGCTAGTTAATCGCAATGCACAGGAAGCCAGCTAACGAATTCTCTCTCTGCACTAGCACCCAGTGCCCTCGCCTCACCTGTCGGAGTTTGCCTAACCGGTAACGGTACAGAAATTGCTGGCTAGTCCACTGTAGTGGATGGACGGGCCAGTAGTCGGCTCCCACCTCCAGGCTCCTAGGCGCTAGCATCCTCGTCCTTGGCTGCAAACGTGGCTGTGCAGCAATCCACTGACCTGGGAGCCAGCAACTCCCCAGCACCAGTTTAGGACGGGACATGGATAAAATAACTATGCAAATTCGAGGAGATTATTAATTTTTAGAATGTTCTGGGATTTGGCCCAGGCAGCCAGATCAACAACTTCCCTTCTCTGCCCCCTGCACCATAAACTCCCAAAGCCACAGTATCCCAGCTAAGAGCTAGGGCCCGCCTCCCCCCGCCGGGACATCATGGCGTGAACCCGGGGCACTGACAGCCATGATCACAGAGCAGCGCTGGATTAGCAGCACTCTCGCCGCACGGGGGTGGGCACCGGAACCATTGTCACATTCTCCTCTTGCTCAGCTCTGAGCGCTCAGCCAGCGGGTGGCTGATTTCCAAAGCAGAGGAGACTTGTTGGACTAAGCGTGGCCCAAAACTCAGCTGCCCAGATGGCCGAATCACCCTGAAATGCCTACCTCTCAGCCGCCCCCCTCTTCTCCCCTTGGCCTGGGGCGCTGCCCTCTCCCCTGCCTGGCTAGACAGCGCAGGCAGCTGCCCCATTTGCATCGCCCTCCCTCCCCATGCTCACAAAGTTTCCTCCCCTTTGCTCAGTCTGTCCCCAGCACCCCTTAGTCTGTTTCGGGCTCCCCCACATTCAGTTTCTTCCCCTCGTTCCTCAACACAAGCACCCTCCCTGCTGCCTGCAGGGCCGTTCTCTGGGCCGCCGCAGTCTCCTTTCCTCCCGCCAGAGCCTCGTGCTCTGAGGAAGGTGCCGTCTCCCCTGAGGGCAGCTGGCTGCGGCCCCACTGGAGGCCGTGGGAGAGCCCGTCCACCTTGCCCGGCTTCGCGCCCATTGACACGCTGGGCAGACGGTCGACATGGGGACCGGGCTCAGCCCCCCTTCTCTCTACCAAGGCTACAGGGCTCCAGGGCCGTCCCGCTGAGGGCAGCCTCTGGCTTCAGGCCTATTAAGGTGCGACGGTGGCCATTTTGATTGAGGGCAAAATTTCCAATATAGGACTGCCAGGGGTCCGGTTTTTGCCGGGACTGTTCATTATTCGGGTCCCCTTGGGTAAAAAAAAAACCAGAAAAATATCAGACGTGAAATGTCGGGTATTTCCTGTTTCTCTTGAACAGACGCCTGGCAAGAACAATTTTCCCCTGCCGCGTCTGGCGGGGACAGGAGAATGAGGAGCTCTGGCAAAATTTCCAATATAGGACTGCCAGGGGTCCGGTTTTTGCCGGGACTGTTCATTATTCGGGTCCCCTTGGGTAAAAAAAAAACCAGAAAAATATCAGACGTGAAATGTCGGGTATTTCCTGTTTCTCTTGAACAGACGCCTGGCAAGAACAATTTTCCCCTGCCGCGTCTGGCGGGGACAGGAGAATGAGGAGCTCTGGGCCATTTAAAGGCACAGCCC